GTACAAAGTTCTCCCATTCCTATCCCACAAACTCCCAGACATCGCAACGCATCCATTAATCGCCCAAAAAGTTCATTATCCACGCATTCGGACCATTCATTCACGTCATCCACACATTCAACACATTCAATAGACTCAGTCCACTGTCTTATTGGTCATCCGCCCTATGATTGCGGTTGTATTAGAGGCTATCGGTACCCATTCCTCAACAATAACCACATCCACGACATTCAAAGTCTACAACAATCAGGTATTTAGTTTGTTATAACATTTTTTTTATAAAGATTAGATTTGCGTGTTTTATCTTTTTCAAATATTATTTACTTATTTGAAATAGTTTTTGCAAAAATTAGGTTTTTAATTTCATACATACTTAAGTTTTGTAAATGTTTTATTAACTTTTTATATAGTTTTAAAATTTATGCTAATTAGATAGAGTAAATAGTAAATAGAAAGTTAGATAACTTTTAGATAACATTGTGTTTGAGTATTGATGAATAACATTTTAAACACATGTTTTATATCCATTTTAATTCTAGTGTAAATAGAAATAAATTCTCGTTTTATGTATATTTTAAGCGTTAAAAATGTAAAAATATGTAAAATGTTTATTATGTATATATTTAGTGAATACATAGGTTTGAGTTGTGAATAGAAATATAGATTCGGTTTGTTTTGCAAACTTTGTTATCATTGTGTTGTGTTTCGGATACAGAAAGACACTATAGTATACTTCACTGCACAACAGTATAGCCGCACAGAGAAGCCATGCATTCTATCAATCTTTCAATTTGTTATTTATTATTCATATTTCTATTTATTATTTATGTATTTGTTATTTAATTATTTTATTATAGCCTTATTATATAATAATTAATTATTATTAATAGATAAGTTGATTTTAATTTTATTTTTTCTAAAATATAAAATAATTAAGTTAAATACAAATAACAGCCGATTATTAGGCAATATTCAAACTATACATCAAATTATTATTTGTTAATACATCTAATTTATTTTTATAGATTTAAACAAGTTTTGTAACTATACTTTTATTGGAAAATTATATCTTTATACTATTCTCTAAAAAATTCTAAAAGTTATAAAATTTAACATTAATTTTAAATACAAATTGTAAATTAGTTTAATTAAAAGTGATTATAATTTTGATTCAACAGAGAATTCATTGCCGACGATATCGAGCAGTACTGAAGAGGAGAGCGATGCAGATATGGGGGTAAAAACGGAATGCTATCCTTTGCCAGATATCGTCAGTTCTTCGCAAAACAGAACTTTAATGAATGAAATTATACGAGAAATTGGTTCAGACCTCAGGAGAATCAGCAAAGATTTTATCACAACACGAGACCAAAATGTGAGTCAAATATCGCATTACTATTTTTGTGTGAATTTCTCTCTCTCTCTCTCTCTCTCTCTCTCTCTCTCTCTCTCTCTTCCTGAGGTCTGAACCAATTTCTCGTATGATTTCATTCATTAAAGTTCTGTTTTGCGAAGAACTGACGATATCTGGCAAAGGATAGCATCGCTTTTTTACCCCCATATCTGCATCGCTCTCCTCTCTCTCTCTACTTATCGTTATTACATTGAATGAAATGAAAATAAAAGTAATCCATTATTTCGATGGCCAATGCATTCAAGTTTAAAATTTAAGTTTGCATTTCAACGCATACTTAATATTTGTTCACTTTATACTCAAATTGCAATTTAAAGGGCATTCAAATTTAATTCTGTACCACAAATACCACTCCTGAGAGCTTTTAACAAATTTTTGCCAAAATTTAAGTCAATTTTTAAAATGTAAAAAATTGAGTCTTTTTATCGGAAATATAGCGATATTTATAGTTCGGAGCTTTCAATGACTTTTCATTCAATACAATATTTTATTTGCTCTAAAGATTTGAAATAATCTTTACAAATATATAGAGTATATGTAATTCATAATTGTATTGATATATATTCGCACAGATATGTTATTCTCTCACATGAGTGACCCAACTCTCTGTATACCGTATATATTATATAACACTATATTCCCAACCAATAGATTATTCAATACATGAAATACGGATATCAAGAGTAGCCGCTATTGATATTTGAATGCATAGCATAGACAGTGTAGTGCATAGTAATATAAATATCATATATTTTGTTTGTATTCGTATATATTATGTGATGTGTAGTCATAAGTGTTGATCAAATCTAAAATTTAAAATCTCCATCACATGAAGCGCTTATTCACTCAATTCTGCTTTTATCTCATAACAGATCCGAAGCCCAAAGATATCAACACTTACTCGACTGATAAGAATCGCGATTCCATTGATCCTCAAAGAAGTTATACAACTATTTTAAAGTGTGAATCCGGAGCTCACATATTGATAACCACTTCACCACTCAATATATTCTATGTTTGAAGTATTTTGACAGACAGTTAATACTCAGCCGATAATCATTTTAAAGTATAATTTCATGCAAAATATTTGAAATACAATTTGTATGTATTTTACAACATTTGTAGACATGTTCTCAAACCAAACGTCTTTCATATTATAATATAGTATATCATATATTCTCTATCAATCATTGATGTAATACATATTTATTTCATATTATATTATGCATACACTTTCATACCTCTTTCATCTCTTTCACCTCTTACAACTTTCATACTTTTACACTATAAATATCTTAATATTAATTTAAGAATTGATTTTGTAATATAGTTTATTATTGTAATCCAATTTGATATGCCTTTTAATATATAATAATTTTTGTATCAATACTTTGTACTACTTTTATGACTTATAAAATGTTTAAAAAACATTTTTTATACAAATTTTTATGTAATTTGACAAAAATATTTACTAAAATAAAGTCCATTATGATATAAATAATAACAAAATTAAGTCTAAATTTATTTTATGTAAAACAATGCTCTGGAGAAACAATATTATGGTAAGTTTGTGGACAAAAACATGATTTCGTACTTATTGGTCAAATGGGATGTCTTGAGCCACAGGAAAACCATTCATCACAAGAGCTCATGAAAATTAATAGAATATTCTCTGAATAACAATTGCAATGCATTTATCAACTCTTTAGTTAAGCTCCAAATCTAATGCTAATAGAAAGTGGACTAAGCATTGAATAACAAATATTTATGATTCAAATCACATAAAATTCTTTGTTTTTCTCCGTTTGTTATAAACTTATTCTATGAGTACATTAGAAGACATTATTAATGAGAAAATTTTCTCTTTATATGTTGAAAATTTTGTTTGTTTTTTCTCTTTAGTACCAAAAGTCATGTATTCTTTAAATTTTATCTTTTTTATTGAAAGATTTATAGCTTTCTATTATTTGGATTAAATTTTTTGATTTTTCCAAATGATAATTATTCGGAAAATAAATCGTATAATCTTAAAGACCAAATATAACTAGACTAATAAGCAATACATCTCATACTTATTACAACAGACCCTCTCATCTCTTTTTATGGTTTAGTTTTTTATTTTAATGCCTTTTATAGCAAATATTGCATTAAAAATTAATAATAAATATACGGTATTAATTAATGTGATTGTGTAATGGAAATAAAAATATTGATTGCATTTTTGTGGTCACTCTTATAATAAATAGTTTTATTAATAAAAGTTGTAATCAAAAGTAGGAAAAGTTTTGGGGAAAATCATAAAAGTTGTTAATAATTATGTCGTTATTTGAATAACCATAAAGTGTTTGTTATATTAAATTTAAAAATAAAATTTTAATCTTTTTTATTGTACAAAATTTATTAACCAAAGAATGAAAAAATAATAAATTATTCATATAATTACATTGAATAAGTCATGTATTCTTTAAATTTTATCTTTTTTATTGAAAGATTTATAGCTTTCTATTATTTGGATTAAATTTTTTGATTTTTCCAAATGATAATTATTCGGAAAATAAATCGTATAATCTTAAAGACGAAATATAACTAGACTAATAAGCAATACATCTCATACTTATTACAACAGACCCTCTCATCTCTTTTTATGGTTTAGTTTTTTATTTTAATGCCTAAATTTATAGCAAATATTGTATTAAAAATAAATAATAAATATACGGTATTAATTAATGTAATCGTGTAATGGATATGAAAATATTGATTGCATTTTTGTGGTCATTCTTATAATAAATAGTTTTATTAATAAAAGTTGTAATCAAAAGTAGGAAAAGTTTTGGGGAAAATAATAAAAGTTGTTAATAATTATGTCATTATTTGAATAACCATAAAGTGTTTGTTATATTAAATTTAAAAATAAAATTTTAATCTTTTTTATTGTACAAAATTTATTAACCAAAGAATGAAAAAATAATAAATTATTCATATAATTACATTGAAAGGATTGGTTTGCAAACCAAATTTTATCAAAAACTTCAATCTAAAAAACTGTTCATCGGATGAATAATTTTAAAATAAAGGATATGTGAGGAAAGGAAAGCCGCAAATGTATGGATGGAGAGCGCGAGTGATGCGGACACTCAGAAACAGTGAACATAAAAATGTGATTTTCAGTGAATCAATAAATTGGATGATAACTGTTGTGAGCGATTGGAGAGACCGTAGGGGTTGGGGTCACTTAGAGTTAAAAAATAAATAAATTTAATGCATCGGTCTCTCTCTCGCTCTCTCTCTCTCTCTCTCTCTCTCTCTGTATGTGTTAAACACACTCTGCTTTGGATTTTAAATCCATTTGACATTAGCTGCCAGTCGTGTCAGTAGTGATACTTATTTTTCAAAATAAATGGCGTTTGTGTCACGTTTTATGAACAAACCATTCAAACCATTGCCTCACAATTCATATCATTTTATAACATCAAAATTGACAAAAAGCCCGCTTTTTATACATCATATGGTTTTTTAGGAGTACTTTTAGATGTTCTCAGCATTAAAAAGAGTCGTTAGTTTTTAGGACTCGGGGCGACTCATAGGAAGTAAGTCAATATGTTGTGCATAAATATAATGTCCGACAAGTGCTCCTAAAAAATGCTGGTTTCCAATCGTTAATAACATTGAAATCATTAACTGATCGTTAAGTAACACATTCTTCAGGAAATCATAGATATTTTTATAATTTCATAGACGATAGCCGTCGCGCTCTCTCCCTCTCTCTCCTCATATCGTAGGCCTCATTGAACACAACAATTATAACGATTGCCTTTCAAAAGAGCGAAACACCAAAATCAATACCATTGAGAATAAAATGAATATTGAAAACGTGCTGTAATTTAGTGATCAATCGGCGAAATATGAAAACCACAAAAAATGTCTTTAGAAGTGAATTGATTTGAGTCTAACTGACGAACGGCTCATTTGAGACTTTGATAGAGGAATATAAAGTTGGAGATCAGGAAACACAACCACAGGGGAGAGCGTGGACTCAGGATTGTGAGACTTCCTATACACACAACAATTGGTATGCCATCAAAACATCATTTATCATTCTCTGCTTCTTTGCTGTACGACCACTGACTGACTAACACTAACACTACTCTAAGCTCTTCTCAATATTCCCGATATTGAGATGGGCTTTGATTTGATAGAGAGAGGCATCTCTTCGTCGCTCTTCGTGTTCACTCTTATTCTTCATTAATCTGTTTTCTCTCTCCCAGTGTTTGCATCAATGCATACGTCCCACAGTGTCTACCACTGCTCACCACTACTATTACGCTACACTCTATACGCTATGGGCTAATACACCAATGCTTGTGACCAGTAATTCATTTCCAGTCCTGACAATCATTGATTTCAATGATTTTCACAACACATTCGATGCAATTCTATTGAATTCCTTCCGTAACAGTCTTTCAATTAATTTTATTCAAATCCAAACTAAACACACTTTTTGAGTCCAAACAATAATATTTCAGCAAAAAAGCGTCAAATAATTCCATTACTTATTCTGAATACCAATTCCAAGAGTTTTGCTCTCATATTGTCGTTTGATGTACTGTTTCTTATGTACTAAACATATGGCACTAGACATCGAAAAAAGCAAATTTCAAATTAACGCAACAAATACTTTACATAAATAAACAGTCGAAACATTAAGAGAGTATGTCATCAATCACTGTCTGTCAGACGAGAAAATTATGTATTAAACAAATACAGAAATACTAATACAAACTTCAAATAATATTCAGAGTATTATATCTTTCTACCACTTCTCTACCCATCCCTCCCCTTCTCACTGGTGTTTTCGTAATGAGAGCGCAAAATATCCATTTATCTCATAATTGAATTCATTCCCCATATCTATCCATTGATTTGATTAATTTTTATTCACATTTTTAAAGTAAAAACACAAATTCTGTCAATAATATGGTTTTGTTTTTAACTTATTTATAGATAATTATAAATGAAGTCAATCTCTAATGTCGTGTAATTAATAAATGTCTGAATTGTGTGTCATTTGTTAAACAATACGACAGAATATTTAGCGAAAATATAA